TCCTCAGTTCATCATAGAACACAGAATGGTTTGGGTTGGAAGGGACTTTAAATATCATCCAGTTCCAACCCCCCTGCCACAGGCAGGGACACCTTCCACTAGACCAGGTTGCTCAAAGCCTCATCCAACCTGGCTTTGAACACTGCCAGGGATGGGGCCAACACAGCTTCCGGCCAACACAGTGTCTCTACACAGGTAGATGCAGACCTTGGAAATAACATCTTTCCCCATTCTGCATGTGCTGTCCTTCACTTTTATATGCCTGCAGTAGTCACAGATGAGAGAACACAGACATGTAGGTTTTCTGATTATACATAAGGATTGGTAATGGCCGTGTGACACAGTATGGATTTTAATGTTATTACTGTATATTCTCTTTAATCTCGCAAAACATCAAGAACTGTGTTCTTCCTGAGTACCCTATGCAACCACTGCTTTAAAAAAAAAAAAAAATCCCTCCAGAAGTAATGTTTCCTCTTCATCTCTAGTAAATAAAATCCCCTCAAATATCATTTCTGGACCTCTGTTGAGTTTCATATCTAGTTCTTGGTGACCATACAGAACTAGAGCCTATAAACTAACCACAAAGACACAATTCTCCTATTTTTCAATGGCATCAGTCATTTGAATGTAGTACTCCTGCACTAGTATGTTGTAAAGTGTCTGACCTAAAAAAGTCATTATGGGATTCACAAAACTGCGTAAAGTTCCTCAGAGGAGTTTTTTGGTTGGTTGATTGGGTTGGCTTTTGTTTTAAACACAAGGCACTGTTATTCTTTTGAGGGGCTGGTGCAGATAATCTTGAGGTGATAGGGCTGCGTGACCTTACAGGAGGATGACAGTAAAAAATACCAGTGATTCCCCAGACTAGCAGAGATGTTCAGTAGCAGTGGGGCTGGTGCAGGATACCTGCTGGTTTAGTACCATGCAGATTTTCTTTTTAAAGCTACTCTCCTTTGAGACAAAGAGATGCTGTAGGTGAGCTCTTTAGTTCCTGCCTTCTGTTCCACCTTGTGTTCTGCTGATTATATTTTTTTCATGCGTGGCTTTTGCTTGCCATCAGTAACACAACTAGTACCAATTTATACACAAAGAATGTGTTTATTAACGCCATCTTTTAGCAGGCGAAGTCTGTCACTTCTGCTAACTACAGTAACTGTCACTCATTTTATAGCTGTCACAGTGTGGCCACCTCAAAACTCATTGCTCTGACATTTCTCTGTTTTTTAAAATACTAATGCATGTGATGGATGGGGTTTGTTTTGTGCAGGTCTGAGTGCAATTCACATGGTGGTGATGGCAAATAGCATGTCCTGCCTCAAACAGCTGATTGCTGCTGGAGTTAACATCAATGCTCAGGAACAAAAATCAGGACGAACTGCATTGCATTTAGCTGTTGAACAAGAGAACATCCCCTTGGCAGGTTGCCTTTTGCTTGAGGTAAGGGCAGAATTTCTTTTTCCCACATCTTTTCACTTACATACTTAAAAACTCTTGAAAATCCTTAAGTGCTTCAGAGGAACAGAAGTAAGGGGGGTTTCCTGTTGACTTGATTACTTAAATTGGTGTAATGGCAAAACTATTGCTAATGTTACTCGTTACTACCTGTTCAGCTCTGCTGGTGAATCTTTTGTCAAAGTTGTGGAATGTAGTTTGTGACCCTGACCTGAGCACATATGCTACATTTAGTGTGCACTGAGTAATCCCAGCAACCCGTGAAACTGCTTGTGAACAACTGCTTCATCTGTGTGAAGTGGAACGTGGATACAGGAGTGCATAGAGAGATAGTTGTGTATGCCTATGAATATTTGTCTCATCTCTGAAACACCTTGATCATAGCATGCTTAATTCTACACACCCACAGCTGGCTGTGGTAGCTTTCCTCAGTACCCATGTGTGACTGTGCCTCCAGCCTACCTGCTGTCATAAGGAGCAACAGGAATTCTGTGCACACCAGTTCACGCTCCACACACCGTGGGTAATCAGGTGGCATGCGGTGAAGAGTGGCTTTTATCTGCCTGAGCTATTTGGGTTTCTGTGCTGTGCCTCCTGCTGGAGCACACCATCTGTTCCTGAATGCAGACAATTGGAGTTACTTTCTATTTCCTTCTTTTCAGACAACGATGAGTTTTTACTCAAACAGGCGTGGAATGGTGCTTGCCTGCACAGTAGCAGTGCATGAGTCTCTGCAGCTGTACTGTACAGACATGTGACACTTTTCTTTCTGTCATTCAATAAAAATTCAGGGTGATGCAGATGTGGACAGCACTACATATGATGGAACAACTCCTCTTCACATAGCAGCTGGAAGGGGCTCTACAAAATTGGCAGCAGTTCTCAAAGCAGCAGGTATGAAAATAGATTTTTGCTGGAGAGTTCTCTTTCACAGTGACAATTCAGGTTAGAAGGCTGCAAGCAGATAAGAATGTGCCCCTGAACTTTTAATGAGCGGGAGAAATGAGATGTTAAAGCCTGAAGGTTTGTTTTTCCGCAGGGAAGTCCTACTTTCAGGCGCTGTGCTACTCTGTAGCACCATCTAACGGCTAAAAAGGCAAATAATTTTACTCAAGAAAAATACTTTGGCACTCTTGGAAACTTTTTCAGTGTTTCTTTTGTAGTTTTTTATAGCTGTAGCAGCAAAGAAGAGACCCTGTTACACAGTTGGGGTAAGTGTTGGGCTTCTTTAAAAACGAAAAGTAGGTCACTGAAAGACGAGCTTGTTTGTGTCTCCTATTTCATATCTGTGGAAGAGTTAGGTTTGAATATTTATTGAAATTGTATTTCAATTGTATTTAGACCTGATTTTTCTCCTTTGAAACAGAAATCCAGCCTTTCATTGCTCTGGCTGTGTGCTTGGTCTTTGTAATATCCACATTTTCCCTGACACTATAAAAAGAAGCACCACAGCACTGCTTCATCACGTACATGCTATGCTCAGTGTGAGCCAGGAATGAGCCTCAGTCAGTTGATAGAATCGCAGCTCAGTTGTTGGGACCTAACATGTGTCGTGTTTTCCCTCTTTACAATGGAGAGTAGCTTTATACAGAGATGTGACAGCATCTAACTTTAGTTGATAAAAAAATTAGCTAAATTAGCCAATTTGCCATTCGGAGCTTAAGTACATATTTTAAATATTGTTGCAAAGCAACTTGAAGCCTTCTCTTAGGAATTCTTTTGCACACTTGTTTTCCAGGTGCAGATCCTCACATTGAGAACTTTGAGCCATTGTTTTATCTAGATGACATGAAAGATGATGAGGATGATGATGAAGGGATTGTGCCTGGAACAACACCACTGGATATGGCGGCCAACTCTGAGGTACGTGATCTATTATTTTAATAGTAAACGATAGCTCTCTCAGCTAATTCCTTTCACTGCATACACAGTTATTTCAGTGGTGACAAGCTACTAATTTGCCATCAGAATTTAAACTAATTCAACCACAAACCCCCTACATGAAATAGCATCGGAAGCAAGCTCCACTTAACAGACTACTTGAACAGGAGTGACCAGGCACTTCTTAAAATAGCTGCGCTACCATCTTTAATATGGAAAAGTATTTAGCTGGTTGGGCAGCTTGTGTTTGAAGGCCCATGTGCAGAGATGCTCTCTAGTGGGTTTCTTTGCTGCATGTTGAGCATTCTTCAGAATTGCAGACTTTATGTGCAGAGAAAATACACTCTTCTGTCCTACTCAAATAGTTGATTAGGCTGCATGGCCCATGCTTTAGTAGCTGATTATGTCCACTTGGTTTGGTATGAGTGTAAGGTACAAGCAGTCAAGCATTTCTGATCATTGTGCTGGGGAGTGGTACTAGTATTAGGTGAAAATCTAGGCTTTGTTTTAAATTACTAGTTGCAGACAGGTAATAACTCCTCAAATAGCCACTGCTCCTGCTGATTATTTACTGCAAAGACTTCCTCTGTATCTTGAAAACAGTTGCCAGATGACGTACGGCAAGGGCGATTAACTTCTCAAGATTTCTCCCTCAAGCTTTGCACAGGTCTTCTACAGTATCTTTAGTCATATTGTTCCTGAGGCAGAAAAAAATGCCCGTTTACAGATGGAATTAGGACTTTATACTGAGACTTGTCAAGATACTGGACACTAACTAGGTTTCTTTATTCTTTTAGGTGTATGACATATTAAATGGCAAACCCTATGAGTCAGCAGTGGTTTCAGAGGATTTACTGATGCAAGGTAACATCTATAAAGACGACTGACAGTATACCTCTAGTAACTTAGTACTGAAAGTGTACTTGCAAAAGACATTGCCCTGCCGTAGCTTGTAACTGAAACAGGGAGGGAGAAGAGGTACCCTCTCACCCCTCATTCATAGAATGAATGACACAAAGGAGTACGTTTTCAGTATTACTTTAGTAAACACTGGGATTGATGGACACTAAAGTACTGTTTAATTTGGCTTTGTTTTTACTTAGAAATGGAATAGTGCATGATTTGTATAAATAATAAACTAACATATTTCTCTGTTCCCCAGGGCATTTGAGAGACCTGAAAGAAAGCTCGAAGATGCAACTTTACAAACTATTGGAATTATCTGATCCAAACAAAAACTGGTCCACTCTAGCACAAAAACTGGGTCTTGGCATACTTAATAATGCCTTCAGGTTGAGCCCTTCCCCATCGAAAACTCTGCTCGATAACTATGAGGTAATGTGGCTAGAACAAGTTCTAAAGAACTCAGACATGTCAAGAATGTTGTCTTCCTGCATGGTGAAACAGTGCAGCCCTTCAGCTTTACCAGCCTGGCTGATGGTAAACATCTGGTATCTTCTCTCTTAGGTTTCTGGTGGCACAATTCAGGAGTTGATTGCTGCTTTGAGACAGATGGATCACACAGAAGCCATTGAAATCATTCAGAAAGCACTATCCAGGTCACAAAGCTCATCACACCTGGAGGACAATACAGCAAAAGCTCCTCTCTTATCATCGCCACCCACCTTTGCAAAAGGAGAGACAGGTAAAATTGACCCTGAAACTTTATTTAAAATGCATTTTATTCAGTTCTCCCACCTCGCCTTGGGCTGTCCATACATCAAGAGTTTCCTACACACAGTGCCCCCGCTGCTTCTCTGTTTCAGAAATATTTTCCTGCAGCACAACTTGCTCATCACAGATATTTGCTAAGGCCTAGAGGAGAGGGGGAAAATGGACCATTTGAATCAGTAGCCCTGCATTACAGTACTGATTATACTGCCTCCCTTTTCTAAAACCAGACGTCTGCCATTTACTGATGGTAAATCAGTATGTACTGTCCTTGGATGTACTGGGGATAAGTTTCAAAAGATAAACTAGTCAATGATCTCCCAGGCCTGACATGCTGGTGTCCAACTTCCTCCTCAGAGCAGGGCCAGTAGTACATTACATGAGGTCAGCCATGTCTTGTCCCATTGAGTTTTGAGCATCTTCAGTTGTGGAGGTCCTCTATTAACAGAAAAGCAGAGGTTGTGAGAAGGCAGTGAGTCATCAGGCAGGTTCAGTCACTGCCTCGCCAATGGCCTTTGTCTGCCCTGTTCAAACACTGGTAGTGCTGCCAGCACCCTAATGTGGAAACTTATACCCTATGTGGAAATTCTGTAAATATTTCTAGAAAGAAAAAAGAAACACCACAGTAAGTCCATCCTGGTTTAACATTTCCAGTTTACACCCTATAGAAAACTGTTCAGTCAAGAATGAACCTTCACACCTATCCAAAAATGTGCTTGTACACATATTGCCTCTTTAGATTAATCTTGAAGGGTAAGAGAGGTTCTGCTGCTTTGCAACATGAATGGATTGCATCACGTCACTTACTTATTTTAAGATGGTTGTTTAGAAAACTAATACTGAACTCTAATGTGATGACCACTGTCCTACTCACACTTGAGCCCACATCGTACCTTCAGCTCAGATACTGTCCTGCAGCCAGGCACTCCTTTTGTGGATCTTGCACAGAAGACAGCTGCTGCTGACTTCTTCATATTTCAGGCTCACTTAATAAATGAAAATTGCTCAAGTATTTGTCTCAAAAAGAAATCTGTAACTGAAATAACATGAGAATATTTTAGGAGCCTCATCCTGGGGCTGTACACTTGTACAGTCTTTGAATCTGAGAATTTTTCTCCCTACTACTACCGCACTCAGGCAGAGTCCTTACTAGTGTGGTGACAGCACTAGAATCAGGAGAGCACCAGGCTTCTTGCCCCATCCAGGCTGCAGCTGCATTCAGTCTCTGCCAGCAGTGCATCACATTACGTGTTTTGGTCAAGTGAAAATGATCAGCACAGGTTTTCAGATTCTAGTATCCTATAGAAGAGCTTTAACCCTATTGGTTTACATTCCTTAGGCTTTTCTGAAAGCAACATTAATGAAGCAACACACATGATAATACATTTCCCTCTTCTCTCTCCCTCAGGCGAGCTCTACAACAGCAAATTTCAAGACAGTGAAAGTGTGTGTGACAGTGGTGTGGAGACCTCCTTCCGCAAACTGAGCTTTACTTATTCGGACTCTCTGAGCAGCAAGTCATCAGTAGCACTTAGCAAAATGACCCTGGGTCATGGACATGAAAGTTCAATGCAAAGCAATTACATAGCCAACTAGCAATATTCAATTAGCAATATGCAGTTATGGGACATTTACATCGGTGTCATCCTGGCCAGAGGGAAGTGAACTGACAACCAAAAGTGCACTGGAAGAACCACACACAAACCTGAACCAACAGCAACTTCAACTCCGAGCCAGTGCATACTTCCTCAAGTACATTTAAATTGTATTCATTTACACACCATATACAGTAACTAGGGCTCTACTGCCGCATTAATACACAGGACTGGACACTGTGAATGACTATCTGAGCTTTTCTGGCTTGTGAGGATTTTCCTTTATAGGTGAAAGTCACTCCTTGTTAGTGCATAATACCAGCTCAATAAGAAGAGGTAAGGCACACAGAGCAATCAAAGGGTGCAGTTTCTAACTGCACTCGTCATAGTTTTTGCAGCAAAGTTGCATGAAAAAAGCGCATAAAATAGCTGGCGAAGAAAAATTATTACTTTAATCACAACAATGACAACCTGGAGAGAAAAGATGATCCTAAAAAAAATAATCTTGTATATTTCAAATAATGTATTTAAACCTAACTTTGGTGCCTCTTATTCAAAACATTTTGCAAGTTTGGCATTTTCCTATTGTAAATAGTTTTTTTTATATCTCTTCCTTTAAAAAAAAAAAGTGTGCTTTTTAAATGCTTATTTTTATTTTACTTTTATAATAAAACCCCAAAATGAATTCTCTTGTTTACCTTGCTGTCATTTTTACATAGCTATCAAGTGGAATTACAGATTTATCGTTTCAGGTTTCGGCACTGATACAAGGATCGTGCTGATTTCCAAGTACTGCCATACATAAAGGCTCACAAGCCACCTCTCTTAACACTTAAGTATCTTCTATGGTGGAAGAACAGGAGAATCAGCTACTGCTGAGCAGCTGTGCTTTGGAACTAAAGCCCGTGACTCATGGTCTCTTTTAATTCTCATCATTTTAGCAGCAGAGAATCATCTATGCTGAAACCATCTATTTAACATCCCAGCAAAACTCTGATGAGACAGTTCTTTGGGCTACCTAGAAACGCCTCTGTTTCTGAGCAGTATTTCTTCTTGTTTCATGTTAATTCTGAGATAGATAGTGAGTGTAACTTACAGATGTTGGCCTTACTAAGGATGCAGAACAGGTATCTGATTTCAGGATGAAAAAGCAAAGAGCAGTATCATACCATGGTCACTCACTTGCAGGCAGTTTTCTTGGCTCATAGATGGAGATTCAGTGTTGTTCTTGGCCTTGCCTAGGCTTCAGTAACCTGGGCGTCATTCCTGAGAAAATAAATCAAGAGAAACTTTGAGAATTGTTAAGAGCAGTAGTTGTTGTAATGAAAAAAGATCCTTGTGAAATGATTTTATATCCAGCTGGATTAGTGAGTATGTTGCTTACTTCCAGAGAAACAAGATTCATTATAGTAAAAATGCCACTTTCTTTCAGTTGCTGTATGCATAACCTACACGTGCAGTGTTAAAGGCATAGGGCTTTTGTTCAGTTAATGTAGTTGTCCAGTGTTCTCTTTGCATTCCAGCTGTAACAGAAAAAGGCAAAGCGTCTCATATTCTGGGGATGGAGGAGCCTTTTGTGCCCTGGCAGCGCTGCTGTCCAAGTTAAATGCACCTGCTGCCACAGAATTTCCAGCACAATGAAGGGGCTGGCAGAGACTTACTGAGGTTTCTACAATCCTGCAGGTAACCAGGACATCCCTGGCTGCTGATTCATACCTTTTAGCCTTATTTCTGAGCAGCTCTGCTTTCAAACCACCAAAAGACACCTGGGTCTGTATTTCCTTAAGCACTTCATGACCAAATGCTGCATAATAGCTATTCATCAGGTTAGTGATCATGCACTAAACAGCAGGACATCTCCCTAGGCTCTGGGTATTCAAGGGCTATAAATGGCAGTTTGGCAGCTTCTTTCCCTGCAGCATTTCAGTTTCAGTCTATTTAACAAAAGAGGCTTTGGGCCCTTTACTCCCCCACCCCTCCCTTTGTTTAGAAATAGGAAAATATTAACTTAAACGTATTCTCACCAATTCAAACAAACAGGAACACTACATTTTTACAGTTGAGTCACATAATAGGACAACTTTTCCCATCTGCTTTTACCCTTAGCGCTTAAGTATGTGTTGCAGGCATGACATACAGTTTGTCAGAACTAGGCGAGAGTAGAACACACCAGCTAGTGTAGGAGGCTACAGAAAGTGGCACAACATCTAGTAGGAGACATTGTTCGCTGGCAGTGTTCAAGGCTAGGTTGGATGAGGCTTTGAGCAACCAGGTCTAGTGGAAGGGGTCTCTACCCATGGCAGGAACATTGAAATTAGATAAAGTCCCTTGCAACCCAGACCGTTCTGTGATTCTTGTGCAGTCTTCATTTGTCAGCACAAACCTAGGGGAGAGCCTAGTGTTTACCTCAGGCAGCCCAATGAAAAGAAAATGCTAAAACACAAAGGTTTATTCTTTCTGCTTTATCTTTCTTCTTATTAGTAGGTGGTCATCCTGTAGAGGGCATGCTAATTCCTGTCCTGATGGCACCTCAGAGGTCAGTCTCGTTGCAGGTACAAGATGAAGGCAGTATATAGAGGCACCAAGCTTAGCAAGAGAAAGTGTAAGTGATGCAGAGAAGTCCTGACAGAAACATTTAAAGCCCATGTATTCTTCCTAACAGGTAATTGTCAAGATACATTTACATGCCTCAGCATCATATCTGCGCCAGACACAGATTTATCCTTACACCTCCTTGCCCAGAAAGGAAGGTGCCATTACTATTTCACAAGTGTGATGGAATAAACTAAAAATATAGCCCTGCAGGAACCCAGAAATTTGCTGCCTGAGAGCTCCTGTCTATACCTGGCTTACAGAGAGAAACCTCTCTCACTTAACCTGCTAAAGAGAAAGTAGTAATGGTGTAACTCAGCCTTATGTCTTCATTCAGCACAGTAAGCTAACGTGGACCTTGCTACACCTTATAGCACAGGGTATTGTCCTTCTCTATTCCATATTACCTCTAGGGGAACAAAACTAAGAAGGGTATTATTCACTGAGTTCTCAAAAGTCAGGAATAAGTTGGGTTGTTTTTTTTTCCTGGAATGTAGCGAGGTGTAACCTTTGGGTACCCTCAGTCAAGTTTAGTATTAAATTTTAAATTAATTACAGAGATGACCAAAATCTGAAATAATTCCAAACTTAATCCACACTTGCAGTAATTGGAACTTGCCACATTAATTTGCTACTTTACTCCACTAATAAACACCAGAAACTTGTGGAATGTAGCAAAATTAAGTTGTAACAATGGAAAACTACAGGTTTTCTCTTCATCTGATGTAAAAAGGATTATTCAGAAAGTTAAACTGCCCTTGACCTTGGGTTGGCTGCCACAGCTGAAAGTTTTTGGTGTCATCTTGGGATGTATTTACAAACTTGGAAATCTGTGTGGTACTGGGATGTTCTAGGCAGCATTCTGAGATTTTGTGGACTGCAGGAAGGATAAGAATCTTACCTGCGTCTTCTCTCCCTTTTCTGAGCAACTAAAATGCTGTTTTCCTACATTAAAGGAAAACCAGCAACTCTCCTCGCTCCCTCTAAGTGATTGGAACAGTGATGCCCATTCATTAGCTCAGGGTGCAATGGTCAATACTCACCCATCAGCCACAGCTCTCCTGGAGTGCACAATCAGCTCTTAGAGCAGCTCTGGAGTAACTGCCAAAGGCGCAGACCAAACTTTTTCTGGCTTCAAAAGATTCCTACTGCTACAAGCAAAAGACAGCACAAGTTAATTACCAAGGAGTTGCTTTTCTGTAGTCAAGAGTTTTAGGAAGCAGTCTGATGCCCTGCCTAGAGCTAGGCTGTAGTATGTATGTTATTTAAAGCCTGTACAGGTTCCCCCCATGGACTCATTTAAGTGCAGCTATAGCAATTTTTCAGCCATCCATTTGCCCTTGCTATTTTCACAATACAGAAGAGCACTAGGAGGTCAGTGAACTTCATGACACACTGCAAGGGCAAACACTTGTGACTGACTTAACATCAGTTAACCTGTGGCCTACAGCAGCATGTGCCAACATTCCAGTTGAGTCAGCACACACGTGTTCATGCACACGCAGAGTAGTATTCATACCTGCTGGGCTAGCTAAGACAAACATGTTTATCAGGAAGATGGGAGCATCATGAATGCCTTACTTCTCTTCAGATGTGCAATCACCTCAGTATCTTCTTAAGTATCCCAGGCAATAAATTCTACATTTGACGCAGTACAAACCAAAACCTGTGGCCAGAGCACTTGCAGAGGGGTAGCAGATGCATACTTCAATAATCAAAACTGACATTTACCGGTCTTTCCTAACTGCCTCTACTTCCTACAGTAAAATGGCCTTCTCTCAGTGTTGGCAGGCACAAAACCAAGTAATTTTAAGGTTCTATATTCTTCACTTAAGCTTTGGTTTTCCACCCTAATTAAAGTAAAACTGGGCTTTCATTTCATAATCTTGTAACATCTGACTGGAAAGCAGAGTTATGTAAACCCAATTCTTTGAATGGAACATGTCCTTAAGCATTCAAACCACAAGTTCCTGGATGACTCAATTTACCCCCTCAAAGGGTAAGAGAGAAAACTGCAATTCTGGCACCATAAAGGCTGGCTTGTAAGCTACAAAACTCAACTGTCCTTGACTGAGAATAAGAAATGTGCTGGCCTGTTCCTCTGCACTCAGCACTGCTACAGGTCACTGAAGTGGTCTCTGCTACACATCTCCAAAGCCAAGAGGGGACTAGTAGAAGTAAAGGTACTGAAGAAAGATGTGCCTCTAAGGCAGAAAAACTGTTCAGGCCCCAAGGTATGCAAACAGCAGGTAACAACAAAGACTGGCAAAGATCTAAGAATACTTAAGAGAGGAACTTAAGATACATTCACATGCTGCTTCTTTCCTGGAAAAGATGTAGTAGAACTTGGAAAAGCTTCCAAGGAAGTGCTCAAGCAAACTGGAACAAAATAAATCTTTGCTGTGTGGCAGAAGGTACATGCTCTCTAAAGCTCAAAATGGTCTTTGTGGGTCCTGAAGGGGTTCAGAGCCAATATCTGTCAGAGACCAGTTTTAGGACAACAAATTAGACAATGCCACACAAATTGCAAAACCTATTCTCGAGTTCTGTTCTGGAAGGGCATTTGTCATGGCTCCTGCCAAGGGGAACTCTGACGGTTGCTTTTGCCATCTAGGAGAACAGCCCAGAGAGAGTTCAGACACAAACTGAGGCCTATCAGCACAAGCAAACCCAGTGGTCCATTGAACAAAACATTGCAAGGCTGCATCCTGAAAGAATACTGATGAGACCATTCCCCTCTACAGTTGTAACCAATAACTTAATGACACTGAGGATAAACACCATGACACTTACCAGATGCTCTTCCCAATGCTCCTGCTGCTGATCACCAGTCCGTCAGATACAAAATGGCAATACAGGTGCTGCTGAGTGGCCAGGCCACAACAGTCAGATGGCTACGGACAGATGTGTCCATAGAGGCAATAGTATTCTGAAGATTCTTCACTGTTGCATTCCTATCTTTGCCCTGATCTGAGGTAAAGGCAGAATAATGTAACCAAATATAGCACACACAGCAGGCAATGGCAAAAGTACCAAGGGAAAATAGTTAACTGAGGTACATGCTACAGCCACTGCTGCATGTGGGAGAATATATATATTTATATATATATTAAGATAATTATGAAGGGTATTATGATAATAATGAAGTGAACCTCACACAGTATGCAATGGCAAAAGTATCAAGGGAAAATAGTTAACTAAGGTACATGCTACAGCCACTGCTGCATGTGGGAGAGAAGAAAATAGCACCTATAAATACATACCCATGACAACACCAGGAAACCAAAAGAACATATTACGGGTATTAAGATAATAATGAAGTGAACCTCCCCCGTTAATTCTGTTTTGAACTCAAGCATCTGCCATAAGCAATTGTTAATCTTTCATAACAGCATCTAGTGCTGAATTAAAGCTTTCCAGTAAGAAAGAATGGACCCACTCTTTAGGGAGCTTCTGACCTTCAAAAATAACAATAATTTAGAAATTGTCTGAACTTTTTTATGCCAATCCACATAAAACTGCAAAAGCAACAGCAGAATGCTCTTCTTTCTGCACAGCAGTGCTGAAAGGCATTAGTTGCAGAGCCACTTCATCAATTATTGATCACATGCTACATAATTTCTTTCATGATTTTGCCTAAAACTCATGACAGGCTAAACAAGGTCATGGTTATCCACATTCAAGGTTTATGGCTACTAGCAAACAAAAAGCTCTTTTCTACATCTCCAAAACTTCACTAGCACTAAGAACAAGTATCATTGACCTTCATATAGGCCTATGCCTTTGAATTGTCTTTTGATTGTCTTTGAAACATGTAACTCTGTTAAAGTTTTATTATTTAACAACTATTAAGTGCCATTTTGAAATTCTATCTGAATGCTGCTGAAAGAAATTTCTACATCAATGTAAGAGAAAGACATCAACCAACCTGCCCTTTTCCTGATACACTGAAGCAATATTTATTAATCATATTTATTCCATGTTCTCTCCACATTTTTTTCATTCTTACCGTATATTGTCTGTTGCTGCTTTGATTCCCCTTTGATCCCAGGTCACTGAAAAAACTGAAAGATTTTTCTTGTGGTGTTGGCCCAGGATGCCTCTCAGATAACTTTTACATTCTTTTATCAATGTCTGCATTTTCTAACAGTTATGTTTTATTCATGACTATCATTTTCCCCATTTATTTTACATAAACTATAAACATTGGTACATGCATGTATTTTGATTTTTTTCATGTTTTCTTTCAACTAGGGCAAGTTTTTCATTAGAGAAGCCCTCCTATGCAACTGCAGTTAGTTGTTTTGGTGCTCTGAAAAAGCATTTTTAAGCAACTTCCATTTATCATTTCCTTTTCATCTTCAAGTTTTTTGTCTTGCTCAGGAGTACATCAGTTTTGGTTAACACCCAATTAAAAAAAGCACCAGAGATGACAAAGCACCAGTCAATAAGCTCATCTCTTTGCCCATTAAAACTGTGATCACTGCAAGAAAACAAGCCCCAGTTCCAAGCTCTCTGACCAATGAAAGATGCAGCTGCTCTCCCCACACGTGCTCAGACCACAGCAAGCATCACCCATGTGGTGCTTTTACAACAAAGATGGTCATCACCAGTAGAGCTTGTTCAAACACCTTCCATTGTAAAGTGCTGATTCTGCTAGGTACTTTTCAAGAAAATTAATACTTGATTGGGCTGCGAGAGGATCCTTGTGGAATCCCAGCAAGATCCCAGCTGCATTTCAAACCACTGCTGACAGGCAAGCCCAGTGTTTAGCAACCTGCCCAAGGCACAGCTCAGTGGCCTCAGTTCCCTGAGAGCGAAACCCTCAGGCTCCCAGCTCCACAGGCTACAGCAGCCCCTGATGCTGAAGCAAGCTTATTTTCTTTGTATCAAAGGCCAAAGTGAGACAACATTTCTGTAGAAAACCTAGAGCATTTTAACATTTTAAACATTTTAAAAACAACTTACTCAGACTAGAGCTGAAGCACCATTACTTCAGATGGACTAAGATCTGTGCCACCAGATCTAACCATAAATCAACAGTGTCCTGTATGGGGATCCCACACAGAAAGAAGTAAAAATAAGGTGTTGAGGTTTTTCCTTTGTTAGAAAGAGAGAAGGATCAGTGTGGATCACAAGGCCACTCACGTGGAATGCCAGGAGGTAACAGAATGGCTGTGCAGCCAATGCCCAAGCTGAAACAGCAGCCCCTGCACTATACATCTACTAGAGAAAAAACAGTCACTTGAAACACTGTGGTCCTCTCAGATGAACATTTCTTATCTGTACTATCCCCTTCTTCTTTTCACCTTTGGCCAACTCTTTCCCCTGTTCCTTTTCCTACAGCCAGGCATATCTTGTACTATGCCACATTATGCAGAATCCACACAGCAGCAAAAGGTTTGTGACTGCACTTGCCACTCTCCAGGAATAGTCAAAGTTCGACATAGAGCTCTTAAGGTTACTGCTCACGTTGCATGAAAACAGAGAAGAAAACAAGTCTCAGACTCTGTTCCCCTTTCAGAAGGGGAAATAAGATCTGCTTGATGTCTAACTAGACAGCCCTGGTTTCATGTTTACTTGGAAGCCTACCTTGCAAGGAGGCAGGCAAGACACCTGATCAAGTGACAGCCATAGATCTGAAAGCGTAGGACTAGAGCTTTCCTGATTTGGGTGTAGATAGATCAAACAACTCCAAGTGGGGCACACCTGTGGGGGCAGTCCCAGGTTTACTCCCTGCCCTTCCCCTTGCCACCAGCATACCTTGCTGTTTCACTTACAGCATAGTGAAACTGAAAAAAAAAAAAAGATTTTTAAAGCCATAGTCTAGAGGTGCATATTTGTGCTGCCTCTTAGGATGAATTCACAACTCCAGTCTCATGGGGACTGGAGAACTTGGACCAGCTCTTTCCACCGACTCACTTCCTCCCATTTTATACATGGGATATATTTGTTCCATCACCTAAGGAAGCTTTACTTTCAATACACCACATACATTATATGCAAGCTTTGCTGTTGTTATCTTTACATTGAAGCAGCAGATAAAATTCACACATGACAGGAATAGACATAATTTTCTGCAATCAGTTCAAATTGTATGTCACTTCAGCTTCATTCAAATTCTTCAAGGTTTTTTCCTCCTCCTGTTTCACGCCTTGTCTAGAGGGAAATGAGGTATCTTCAGACGATGTCCATCAGAGAGGTCAAGGTTAGTGACTCCTCCAGTTCTTCAATGCTCGTAGGTTCCCAAGGATAAAACATAACGACTTTCCTCTTTTCAGTCATGAGGAAACCATTCTCGCTAAATCTGCCTTTTATACTCCCTACATCCAGAGAAACAAAAGGAGCAATTGCAGTAGTATGAAGATCAAATATATAAATGTCATCTTGTTGGGAAACAGAGGCCTGGAAGAGAAATGGAAAAATAAATAGATAAATATATGTATTAAAGAACCCAGTTACATCCAAACTGGGAAAGACCTGCTATGTCAGTAAAACAGACTGAACAACCACATTTGATCAAAATTGCTGTTCTCTTCTGGAAATCTTGTCTGGAACAAAAAGTCAAACCAACAGGATTCATATGTAAGAATCATGTAAAAACTGCAAATGTTACTATAGCCTTTCTATGAATAGTATAGATAAGGCCGACATCTGTGCTGTTGCGTCATTGGTCGCTCGAGATTGACCCAGGAAATGACAGTCTTGTTCAGAATGTGTGGGTTAAAGCCCTTCCTGAATCTTCATTAGCGAAGACAGGCCTTCCTCATAGGAGAAAGAAAACTCCTATCTTCAAACCTGGGCTGATGGAGCTCATCTAGCCTTGTATGGCCTTCCATCAAAGAAGGACACTTACAAAACCTACGACCTGTGGACTTTGCTGTCACCATCCTAGCTAACTGGGCCATGGCAGTTAAACTTCAGGTTTAAAGGATGGGGCCAGTTCTGCGCAAGCTGCGCCTCACCTAAAAAATCCACTGCTCGGGGGGAAGGGCTTACTCTCACTTCTCTGTATGGACAGGCAAGGGTCAAAACAGTAGGTGACAAGGTGCATGGGAAGCTGCAGATCTGACCTTGCATGCGGGCGGACCAGCGCATGGGTAGCTCGAGATTCCTCAGGAGATGACAGTCCTGGTCGGACACTTCCTGATTGCCTAAGCACCCTTTTTTCCAACCAGATTTGCATATCCCACATGCCCTTGGTCATCATGCTTGTAGTAAGTGTGGTTAAAGCCCTTTATGTATCTTCTCTCACAAAGCCAAGCCATCAATAGACAAGGCAAAATGCCATGGAGTGTTACCACTCTACCATCTTCTTAGGCAGATAACCAAATAAATGGTAATCTGACATGTCTGTAGGACTGGTATCTTATACTTACTGCAGTGAGAGAGATTTGTCCTTTCATCAACATACTTCAGTCAACCTATAAATTTACAACAACTCAAGTAGCCAGGCTTTCAGATTACATCAGTAACAGAAATGCACAGAGGCAAAAGATGGTAAAAGTCACAGTAACACAAGAGGTCGCCTCATTTTAATGGAACATGAGAGTGAAGTCCTTATACTACATTTAGAAGGCAGCTATGAAATACCACCATGAGGCAGAATGTTTTATATTAAGTTCTATCAGTAGTTAAATCCCAGAGAGGCTTAAAAGCACAACCAGGATGCATTTTCATGCAGCACTTCCCATTCACCATAATGAAATATTATGCTACATCATTTTCAAATACCAATTAAACAGATATAAAAAGCAGTCAAATTATGCTAAGTGCAGAAGTCACATCCCACTTCCAAGAAAAAAAAAACATTATTCATGTTTAAGAAAAAGCACATATCCTTTACACTTTGTGTTTTCTGAAGGAACACAAGAGTTTTCATGTGTTTTAAAAGCAATGCCATGAAGAGTAGCACATGGATTAGCAATGCATTTGAAAGTCTAGCTAGCTCATTAGTAACTATGTATAGAAGTACCAGCTTCTCACAAAACAATATTTTTTTCAAATCATAGCTGCATACTTCCTTAAAATAACCACTTTACATTTATCCTTGCTAGCTATCTTTATTAGTTAGCACCGTGGAGACAACACAGCCATCGGAAAAAGGAATGAAATTTCCCAACAGTGCTCCAGTTGGAGAGCTTTTATTATTGATGATGTCATCCACAAAAAAGCCCAGCATGATTCAGACTCCAGATTGTGCCACCAGCTGAAAAATAAAACACAAAACCAGGCTGATTTCTTTCCTTTGTATACTCAGGAGGCAGGCCATGGTGCCATGAAGAGATAAGAAGGGAAAATCTGGCCCATTTTTTTTTTGTAAAACAATTAATGCTGTCCAGATTCAAAGACATTAAAGACCTCTATTCCACCCTTGTTTAGTTTAGCTGTAAAGAGAAAAGCTGCAGTTTGGAAGCCAAATGTGGAAATGCACAGGTCCCCATCCTGCCAGTCTGCTGATTAAGAATTTTGCAACAAGATTTACATTCCAAAAAGTGAGGCTTAACAAAAATGCTCTATATATAGAACACACTTGCTAGGAGCAGAAGAAATCTAGGGAAAAGCAGGAAATGGACTAAATGACAGTGTTATACAACACTGATACTCTTTGGTGCCTGTTCAGAAGGCTGACACACTTGCCAAATAATAAGAAATAATAACTACTACGCAAATCAGAACCCTGAGCTGGCAGGCAGGGATTTGCTGAAGAAGGAAAGGAGCATGTAATATTGCATGTTAGCAATGCTACACTGATCTAAGAGTTTGAGCACTTTAAGAGGAAATACTGCTGACAATAATTCACTCCTCACTCAACTGAATTAGCATAACCTAGTACTGACACATACGCTACTGTCTACAAGCTAAAATACTTGCCATGCTGCTATCTGTTACTCAGGGTCAAAAAGAGTGAAAGGAGCAATGCTACAGCAGTCAGCTGAAAGACAGTCTAAACAAATTAAATGGAGACTTCATTATTTAAAATGAAACAAAACCAACTCACCATCACCCCTAAAAAATACAATCCACCACCCCAAAACCAAACCACCAGTCTTATTTAGATGTGCATATAGTGACACAAGAAAAAAAACCACCTGATTTTGAACTCAGCACGGAAGCTAGGATTGCAACAGCTAAGGAGAAACAACATGGACATGGACACTGCAGAGCAGGCAAACAAAACAGTAAGATTAGCAAAACCAAATAATGTAATCTAGCAT